GTGGTCTCTACCGACTATCACGAGCCTAGGTCGAGCCGTTTAGATTTGTGCCGCAATTCTGCATTTCCTCCCTATACCTTAAGTTAAGGAGGAAATGTTCCTTCTTTTACACCTCTTGACCTTTGACCTTTGACCCCCAGCTTCGACATCCCAACTCGTTTTGACGATCCCCCCTAACGTCCCGAATATCGTGACCGTACGTCAAGCGGTTAAGATTTGTGCCCAACTGTTGACGCACGGACGCACCGACGCACGCACGCTCATGCGATTCTACAAGCTGCATCTGACTATGTCCGATGAGCTAAAAATAAGATAACCTTTCAATATTTTGGGAAATCGAATTAAAGGAATCGAATCAAGAGGCTAATATCGAGAACCGGATCGAATCGAGAGGCTTGTGTATCGTTACAGCCCTAATATTCAGTGAATTGAATATGGCCAATATAAGAATTGTATTAATCATTTAATTGCCAGCCCAATACCAAATATGAAAACAAGTTCCTCACAGTTCTACATTTACCAACTTAGCATTGCTTCATTAAATCATTGGGTTTAACTTTTATTTAATCAGTATTTAATTAACACTATTGCTTTGTTTTTACTCCTAATCACGCATCACATAATTTTGCCTCATTTCGCTACAACCGTGTCTATAAGTTGTCTACTAGCATCAATATTTGAAAATATAGATTTTTAATGAGAATTACTAATTTTTCTAGGCAAGCTGCATACAACAGCAAACAGATCAAACAATCGTGGAAAAAATCCATTGCCTCGTTGGAAAACGGATACTGAGTGTCAATGAAATGAGGCCCCACATAAGAGAGTATGTACGCACTGATCTGTTCTGTGGCCAAGACCTGCCTCCAGCGTACAATCGCCGGTTCTGCCCAACCAAAAAAGACATCAGGAACCACATCTATCGTGCGATGGTCAGGAACAGATTCTCGAAGTGCGACCAAACCAATCTCTCCGTAAAGGTTAAAGAGTGGGAACGGCAACAACCAAGCGACAAATTCTTTTACCGTCCTTACGCCTCAAAAATACCGGAAGAGCAAGTGTGTCCCCCTGACGATTGTGACAGTAATGACGAGGAAGTGAAGGTGACGGGCACCACGTCACAAGAATCCCTGCTCTTCATCTACCAAACCTCCTGGCAGAGCAGACTTCTTGAAAAATACGGCAATCAAATCTGTCTTCTTGATGCCACCTACCGCACCACACGGTATTCACTGCCGTTATTTTTTATAGCTGTGAAGACCAATGTCGATTACCAGGTGGTAGCTTGTTTCATCATACAGCATGAAACAACAGATGCTATAAAAGAAGCTGTGCAGGTCATCAAGGACTGGAACCCGTCATGGCAGCCAGAGTACTTCATGACAGATCTCAGTGAACAGGAGATCAATGCAGTTGAGGAAGTGCATCAAGGTAAGACAGGGGTTAGAAAATTAGTCATATTCCTAACTTTGTGTGAGTCTAAAAATGTGTAGAGTCAGTGAGGGAAAGGCATGCATCATGCATGTAACGGTTTACACGTACACCTCCAATAACGTTCTACTCTGCATCTTACCCATGCTTGAGGGCTGAATTATAACCAAGCCTTTCTTTAGCTATGCCATGGAATCACTAGAGTAAATAATCACTGGTCAACAATGGTAATGGGCCCTAAGTTTCATGTATGTATCCAAGCAGTAGTTGTTAACATATAAACTTTTTTTAATTTTAATTTACTGTACTTTATAAATTTGAGACTGACAATATCATGCTCAGTTGATGTGCATGCAAGCTCGGCAAGCAGGTGAGGATGTCTGTTACGCATCACATGCTTTTTATTTACAGATTTTTTATTTACATCACAGGAACTACTGTATACTTATGCGACTTCCACCGCGAACAAGCCTGGGAACGGTGGGTATCCAAGACGTCTAATGATGTCACCAACTCGAAAGAGGAGGTTCTCTGTCGTCTTAGAAGAGTGGCATGGGCACCTACCATAGATAAGTTCCATGAAGCAGTGAAAGACCTTAAGTCGAGCGATGTTTGGATCAACACCGGAAAACTTCAAAAGTGGTTCACCAATACATGGCTGAGTCAGCAAAAGGTGTTACTGATAGCATATACATTTTTATGAGGTGATACAGTTACACAATTCTACGTTACTAGTAATTGAATGTAATTTAACAGAACCCCCTACTCCTAGATCACAAAATGAACGCATGTGTGCAAAAAAACACAGAAAGTCAGAAAATTGGCGGCAGAGCCACGAGTCAGGCCATTGTGAACATAACTAAGAATATCTTCGCTGAACAAGGACTACCTGAGACCGTAATAAGCGATAACGGTCCACAGTTCGATGGTCAAGCTTACAAGGTTTTCGCCGAGAAGTGGGGTTTTGACCATGTAACAGCGAGCCCGCATTACCCGCAGTCAAACGGGCTGATTGAGCGCCAGGTACAGACCGTCAAACTCGTCCTGACTAAAGCCAGAGCAGCAGGAATTGACGTAGACATGGCAATGTTAGTGCTCAGGTCTACAACGATAGACCATCACCTCCCGTCACCAGCTGAACTGTTGAACGCGAGGAGAATGAAAGCGAACCTCCCCACGAGGATATACAACAACGCACCCAATAAAGATGCGACCATGCAGAGGCTTCTACAGCGGCAGGCATCTCAAATGGCATATTATGACGAGAAGGCCGGAGGAAGCCTGGCCCCGCTTATCAAAGGACAACCTGTTTGGATACAAGACCAGACATCAGGCCAGTGGCGTCCAAGAATAGTCACTGGGATCCGTCCAGAACAACGCTCATATGAGGTACACACGCCCTCTGGTGTTACATTGAGGAACCGGCGTCCACATTAGGGAGACGTGTGAGGAGGCGAACACCTCAGCTCAAGCCGATATCCCCGTGCAACATACCAGCAATCCTGAGACAGCAGCCAGAATGGATACGCAGAGCACACCAGTACATCCAGCGAAATGCGTCCGTTTCCTACAGGATGCCAGAACCAACTGCCATCCAGTGGGTGATGATAATAGTGCTTCCAGCGAGGCTGTGGCTCACACCTATCGTACGCGATCAGGTAGAGCAGTCATTCCACCAAAGGGTTTGACATGTAAAAATGATTTTGAGTCCTATTCAAATGACATTGAGTAGTTCATTTTGTGTTAATGTTACTACTGTTGTGTTATGTTACTTGTATGTTATATAGTGAGTTACGTCTGTTCATACCCATTATGTTAATGGTTTTATAGATAGTCGGTTACATCCTGTATAACGTAAAATCCGCAACTTATCTTCCGTCGCAGAACAAGCAGACAATCAACGCGAATTTATAATCACTGAAATGCACCTCATAAATAGCGGTATCAGTAGTGGCTACTCTCAGCCTTTGATCCAATCAGACGGTCTCTAATGCTTCTAAAAGAAAGGGGATGTCATATCATGTTACTAAACATAGTGCTCATTGGTACTCGGAAGGTGGCAGCACGGTCCAGCATGAGCACTGGGGGGTTCGTGGCGAGGCGGGAACCATAACTAGCCTGCGGTGTGGACGAGTAGAACGTAAACAATAAATGGCTATGTTTAAATTGGATTTCCGTCTTATATAATATGACAAGATATTGTTACATACGCGGGCAATCAAAACGCTCTACAATTTCACATGTACCGTTATATGGAGAAATGAGCATATACAGAGGTGGCACAGTGTTTAGCCATCGAATAAAGTCGAAAATAAAAAATCGGTAAAATTTTGCCTAAAACCTTGAGTATCCTTAAGGGTGGAATTGAAGGTCATTATAAATTGCAGCACTTGTTATCAATTCACTTTAAAAATGATGACCTGGTTATCTAACAATAAAATTTAGAAACTGATCGAGATAGTTTTGGATTTGAATATGAATGAGAATTTAACAGAATATTACCCAAGTGGTGAAGTACGAAATCATACGCCTATTATCATACATCATACATAGTTCCCTGTGATGTAATTCACTGCCACTGGTAGGTATTACTATTGGTAACAATGTCACTAATACAATTTTAGGTGCCTAAGCTTAAAACTAAAGGGGTGTTAGAGCGAGAGATGACCGACTAGCCGGACCAGGCAGCAGTGAGACTAACATCTTGTTACACATCTTGAGGTTCCTACACAGGTGTTTTAGAATGGACATCGTTTCTCGGATCTTATGCCGGGAGACATGATCACGACGTACTATGCCTATGCCTGGCTATGGTAATACTAATTACTATCTCCGTTGGGCGCGAGCGTAACATATTTCCTACTGGCACTGTATTTCCCACTGTAAGCTCTTGAGACACATCATGTCACATGTCACATTCACACAAAACAAGATCATCAGAAACAATACCGTACGAATAAAAATCCATTTAAATTTCCATAGGCAAATAAATATACATGTAACATGTATAATCATAGATATTATAGAATATCTATGCTATCATAGATATATACAAATGTCTATTATGGTATAAAAATGTATAAACACACACTAGGGTGTCACTTTCCCCCGGGCGTAGAGGGAGGGTCACGTGATGAGGTCTCATGACGTCACTGCACAAGGCGTAGAGGGAGGGTGCCGCTACGTGGCAGCACTAGTCATTTCACAGTCTTAAACGTGATGACGTCTTATGACGCCACTGCACAAGGTCTATACTTAGCCCAAAGCATATAAATCAACATATATATATATATAATAGTGATTTATATGCTCTGCTTAGCCTTAGCTAATTTAATCTCGTCGTCGCTTCTTCACGGGGCTAAGGCGCAAGGGAAGGCCATTGTCGGTAGAGCTGTTTGCCCAAAGATTTCGTTGAAGTTCGCCCATCTTGACTATTGCGTCCTGCAAGCACGCCTCATCATCTACGCGATAAACGATATCCCGCACTAGATTGAGCTTCTGAAGAAACTGGTTGCGTAGGCTCGTAGACGATCTTGTCAAGGTACTAGGCCCGGCAGCATTCTCTGTCATTTTGGTACAGCTAACAGTGCTAACAGGCTGGTCAATGGTTACACTGTCGTAGTTGTCACCACTGCTGGCTGCTATTCCGAAGCCATTGTCGTCTAGAATGACGAACACACTGTTCCTGCACTCTGCATTCTCTGTCATTTCGGTACAGCTAACAGTGCTAACAGGCTGGTCAATGGTTACACTGTCGTAGTTGTCAAGCGTGAATGCGTGCGTGCGTGTGTGTGCATTTGACTTGTGTGTGTGGCTGTGTTCATTTGACTTGTGTGTGTGGCTGTGTTCATTTGACTTGTGTATGTGCTAGTGAACGCGTATATATAGTACAACGTCATATTATTATTAGAGCTGGCATTAGCTCCAAGAAACAGTGTGTCTATACTAAAACACCGTATTGACGTTAGTCTCATCGCAGCCTGATCGGTCTAAGCTGGCATGTGAGCTAAGGAAGAATAAAGGGTAAAGCTTACAAGATGTATAAGCCTGAGGGGAATTTTTGATTGAATTCTCATTAAATTGGTATTACATGAGCATTTTTTGCAAATGTGAAATGAATCACGCATAAATAGCATTAACACAACTTATGACTACTAAACAGATCCCTCTGCCAAGCCTCACAATTAAGGTCTTATGATCCAGTGACCAGATTCCATACTCTGGAGATCTTGGCCAAAAAGTCCAAGATTGTCAGCATGGAAAAGATCGGAATATTGAAATAAATATGAAATATCAACAGAAACAAGTAATTATAAAATTATATAATTTTCTATCATGTTTAGACCGTTCAGTGACCGGTTAGACTCAATAGTCGATGTAAATTTTATTTTATTCAACATATATTAAAAAGGGATGCATTGGTGGTCATAATGAAATAGAATACATCACTTATTTAATTATTTGTAATTACCTGTTTGTATTACACCTAGCTGTTGGTATTACACCTGTTTACAGAACGATTCCAGTGACAACATTATAATAGAAGTGTAGTGGCCCTAGAGGTAGCCGACTACGGTATGACAGGTGTTATATACGCGTGTTTAGTTGTGACCCTAGTTGTGTGGATTCATTGTTCGCTCCTGCCGTTATAGTACAGTAGATTAGAAAAAAATCGTTCAAAATGTGAAAAAAATATGAAAATTGGTACACTTGCATACTTTTGTATGCTCTTTCATATCTTAAAAGACAGGCGACAGGACACACATGATCTAACATTACAAACTTTGGCCGCCATCCTTGAATACAAAAATGCCGCCGACATTTCTTAAAAAATACTAATATCTCGGTAATAATCTTCGTACAGACTTTGAAAAATTGACTGAGAGACGTAATTTGGTTACTAGTCCATAGCAACAACGGATGCATGTGATACACAAGAGCGTTTTGACCCACATCTTAAATCAAAATGGCCGCGTCATTTAAGAAACAAAATATGCCTATATCTGGTTATAACTCCGTACAGACTTGAATATCTTACTGACAGACGCTAAATTTGGTTACTATTTTATACACACAACGTGATGCATGTGAACCCAAGGGCGTTTTCAGCCACCACTTGATTCAAAATGCCGCCTAAAAATTACCAAAACTTAGCAATATTCCGTCACGGAAGAATAGAGACTGTGAAAGTTTGCAGACTGGCCAGCTTAAACCGTCAGCGCCGCCCAAGTCGACACGTGCCGTATCTCAACCACGCGTTGAACCGATGAAAAACCACGCCTTTTATCGTGGAGTTCTAACACGCCATTTTAACGTGCCGTTCCCTCAAGTAAACCGACGTGTCACACAAGCAGTTCAAAACTCACGTCGCGCGCGAGCACGCACGCACGGCACATAACAGATTAGCTATACTACGCGCACGAGCACGCACGCACATAAACAGAAGCTATATACGCGCGCGAGCACGCAACGGCACCATGAATCCAGGTACCTATACCCGAGAGTAACCGCAAACGCGACATAACAGGTAAGCTATACGCCCCGCGAGACCACGCACGAACGCTAACAGGTACGATACGCCCGCGACAACGCACGCCACATAACAGAAGCTATATACGGCGCGCAGCACGCCATGCACACATAACAATAACCTATACGCCCGACGAGAACGCACTGCACGCACATCAAACAGACGCATATACGCGCGCGAGCACGCATGCACACTAACAGGTACGCTTAATACGCCCGCGTGAACGCAGCCACATACACAGAAGCTATATTACGCGCGCGCCACAACGCACACACATAGACAGGTACCTTATACCCCGGAGCAACGCACGCCCACAGCGACGCGCACTAACAGATACGGATACGCTCGCGCGACCACGCACGCACAGACGCGCACACAAATATAGCGATAACGCCCGCGTAAACGCAGCGCACATATACAACGCTGAGCTATACGCCCGCGAGAACGCACGCAACAGCCAACATA